AATGGCGACAAACGGAACCACAGCAAGACACAGCGGATGCCTTTGCTAGCCACAAGCATAGCTCACAGGCTGAAAGGCGCGTAGCAAACATGCGCAGCTACGAGGCCGGCAAGATGGCTGCAGGACTACACATCTGTCACCTTCAGACTGCGAGCTAAGCTCCTGGCCGGTGCACCTGCAATAGCGAGCAAGAAACTCACACCAGGGACCGCCCGAATGGATGCTCGATTGTGAGGGTGTGTGGAAAGGGGAGAATAGGGGAGACGATGTGTGGCAACCCTGAATTGCATCCGGACTCGTTCGCAGAGCACGACCGGACACAAGGTATTTTGTAATGGCAGGCTAAACCCCTTAACCCTAAACCAAAAAACCCCCAAAACCCTAAACCCTACGGACCCGGAGACTAGGTATTTGTAACGGGAGGCTTGAGCTTCAAACTGTCCAAGGGTCGATTCGGCTTTCAAGCCTTGGGACCGGCAGGTCAAGAAGCCGTCATCGACATTTCACAGTGACGGCGGGAACGCGTCAGCCGAGGCGACGGGGAGCTGTAGCATGAGAGGTTTGGGGTTTGAGGTTTGGGGGGTAGGGTGCTTCCACGCCAAGCCCCTGCCTGAAGGTGAGGGCCACCACCATCGTTGTCGAAGGTGCCTGCATTGCATTGAAACGTTTTCTGCATCAAAGGCTTGCTTGCAACCCGTACTGATGAAGAAGATTCCACAGGCGTCTTATCAAAGAAGGTTTAGACAAGCCTGCAGTACACAGGTGAGGAGATTGTCGAAAAGGGTGTCAGCTGCTCAGAGGCCTGCTGAAAATGACGTGGGGGTGGGACCGAGAATCGCCTATGCACCCCAAACGAAGCATATGAAGCATGAAGCATGCCGACACCAAGAAGCGCCCGAGATAGCCGCAGATAGAACCTCCAAGCAGTTCAGAGAGCTCTTAAATGCCGGGAAGTGCCTCAGAGGCTTTGTTTGAAGGTTTGGAGGCCTCGGGGTTCTGGAGGCATAGAGGAACAAGTGAGATTCGGTGAAGAGAAGAGCTGCCAAGCGCCTGGAAGCGCCGGAAAGCAGATTCGGAATGCGGAGAGCACACCTAGAAGCACGTAGGAACAGCAGGCTCGCAAGAGCTTCGGCTGGAAGCGTCTAAGCAGAATTTGCGAACGCTTACGTTGCGGGCTTGTAAAGGTCTGAGAAGCCTCGAAAGACTTTCGAGTGTTCTACCTTGGAAGCATCAGGGCTAACCCCGGTCTGAACGGAAGATTACGGGAGCTCAGAGGCCTACGAAATTGGCACCTACTTTCTGCTGCACTCTGCTTGCGGTTGTGGACCTCCAATCCGTCTCTCCGTGGCCAGGATCATACGCAGAGCCACATGCAAGGCCTGCCCGTTGTTGAACTTGTGTGCAGTTCACTAAGGCTGCGCTGACAGCTTTTTGCAGGCGAGGTCGGTGAGGTGGTGGAGTTTCCGCACCATGGTTCGGCGGAGGCTGGTCGAATTGTGCTGCCCTGCTTTTCCGGTTTGGTGATTTTGGAGCTTCTGGTGAAGCTTCAGCTCACGCTTCATCCACTCCACGGTACTGAGATACAGGCTTCATCATCTCCGAAGGAGATGAAGATCAAGGCCAGGACAACCCAAAGCAGTGAAAGCGTTCTCGGTGCCCTGGTGGCAGGCCAAGCGGAAGACAAAGAAGCCGGTGGGTCAGACTGAGCAGGCCAAGCTCTCAAGCGGGGTAGCCTCGGCAAATTTTGCAGGCAGTTTGGGATCTTTGGCTATTCAGACGTCATCTTTGTCTAAGTGTGACGTCGGTGTGGGCACTAAGTCGTCTTTCTGCCTGCAACCCACACTGTTGTATCGCTCGTAGCCAAGGTCAACGCGGTCCCACCGGGTGGTCATGATTTCGATGCATCTCGCTCTGCGGTTGGAGAGCTTCCTTTGAACTGAATATTTTCTGGCTCGAAGTTGTCTGCGAAAGGGTGCCTGATTTCTGTCGTATGCGGACAGCGGTTCTTGGGCAGTTCTGAGTTGTTCTCGAAGGGGACTAGCTAGGCTCCCACGTGCGAGGCCAGTCGACAGGTTGCAAGAAGAAGCCATACTCGTAAGAAGCCCAAGCTGAATAAGCCCTAAACCCTAAGCCTTCAGCATGAGTCTTGGGATGCGCCCGAGTGCGGACACGAGAGTCCGACAGAGAACAGAACAGAAACCCTGTAAGCCTCACAGCTAAGAAGAGTCAAGCTCTCAGGTCCCTGAGGAGGCGGAGAAGCAGCCTCGGCCTCGGGATGTTGAGGCTTAGCACTAATATGTCATGTGTAACATGTAGCATAGAGTACATACTTCATGCTACATAAGTTACATATGACATATGTTATTTCGTACACCAAGGAGCTCCTCAGAGGAGCAGTGTTTCTGAGATGGTCGTAATTAATGCAGGAGGGTTTAACCAAGATGGAGCCCTCACAGCCCTCACGCAACAGGCTCGGACTGCAGATGCTGCATGGTGCACGACAGGTGCTCACGCGTTGCTTGTGTATCTTGACCACCATACGAAGCAACAGCAACAGGCCGAGCCGAGCTAATGACAGGGCCCACCCCTGCCAGCCGAACGAAGACTGTTCGATGGTGGTGCAGCAAACGGTTGCGCCAGCACGTGCTTCCTGCATGTCTTTGCACAGAGGGAGAGGTTCTGCCAGTCTCGAGGCGCAATTCAGCGTCACACCACCCGAAGTCATGGAGCATAGATCCCCAAGAAGCAGCCGACGGCGAGCGTGCATGAGGAAGCAGAAATCACAGTCAGTCCACCACTCCAGCTGCAGATCCTTGCACCTCACTCCCCTAAGAGTAGAGATCGGGGGCCAGCTCTAAAGTTTCGCAGACGACAGGAGCGGCCATTCAGCACTTCACACTCACACAATCGAAGTAGACACGAGCAGCCCCCGAGAAACCTGTAGCTGGCGCCAATGCCGCCGGCACTTGCAAGGAAGATGTCAACTGGGTTCTTATGAAGCAACAAGTGAAGTCACCATCATAAGCAACGTTTCGAGCAACTAGTGTGCTCTCCGTACTGTGATTACTTCAAGTAACTTCTGTAGGAAGAACCCAGGTTTCCCGGAGATCCCGAGATCTTCCTGCCAGTTATTCACAAGCACATTCAGCACCGAGAGGCCTCACGCAGGCCAGGACTGAACGGCTGAGGTCATAAAGCTTAGGGCGGATATAGGTTATAGTTCATGGATTGAGTGTTTAGGGTTAGGGTAAGATTTTTGGTTAGATATGACAGACCAGAGTCAAGACCGCAAAATGCGGAGTCTTGCACTGCAGCCCTGGGACACGCGGTTTATCGTGTGCACTTCTCGGCGGGCTTGTGAAAGCTGAAGTTTCACACGGGTTGCCGTTTAAGTTGTGTAATCCGGCCATCCCACATCCACGCCCTCGAAGTGCACAAGCAGCCCCCGAGAAACCTGTAGCTGGTGCCAATGCCACCGGCACTTGCAAGGAAGATGTCAACTGGGTTCCTATGAGGCAACATAAGTGAAGTTACCATCATAAGCGACGTTTCGAGCAACTAGTGTGCTCTCCGTACTGTGGTTACTTCAAGTAACTTCTGTAGGAAGAACCCAGGTTTCCCGGAGATCCCGAGATCTTCCTGCCAGTTATTCACAAGCACATTCAGCACCGAGAGGCCTCACGCAGGCCAGGACTGAACGGCTAAGGTCATACGGCTTAGGGATATAGGTTATAGTTCAGGGATTGAGTGTTTAGGGTTAGGGTAAGATTTTTGGTTAGATATGACAGACCAGAGTCAAGACCGCAAAGTGCGGAGTCTTGCACTGCAGCCCTGGGACACGCGGTTTATCGTGTGCACTTCTCGGCGGGCTTGTGAAAGCTGAAGTTTCACACACGGGTTGCCGCTTAAGTTGTGTAATCCGGCCATCCCACATCCACGCCCTCGAGGTGCACAAGCAGCCCCCGAGAATCTCCGAGAATCCTGTAGCCGATGCCCATGTCACCAGGCACATGCACGGAATATGTCGTTTCAACTAGGCAAGTGAAGTTACCGTGATCAACAATTCGAACAACTAATATGCTTTCCGAACTATGTCAACTTGTCAACTTTAATTTCCTGCCTTAAGATGAACCTAGGCTTTTCGGAGATTCTGAATGATCCCGAGATCTTGGTGCCACTATTTCCAAAACACTTTCGTCACAGACAGCCTGCGTTAGGCAGCACAGGGCAGGACGGCTAGGCTGGGGGCCTGAGGTTTCGGTGTTAGGGTAGGCTTCTTGAGTACATATGCCGAAAGAATACGACAGAATAGGCCCAAGCCGTCAGCACGAGTCTTGCACTGCAGCTCTGGGACACGCGACTTATCGTGTACACGGCTCGGCGGGCGTGTAAAAGCTGGTACTGTCACATCGAGAGAGTGGGGGAGAAGGAAGTGGGTTTGGGATAAATTGGCATATATTGGCATATTGGAGTTTGAGAGTTCTGACCTTAGCCTGAAAGTGTTGGCATGCAGGTCTGATGTTGTTTTTGTGTGAAGGATCTGTCTGTCTGTGTGTGGGGGGAGGTTGACCGAACTGGTCTAGGTCTGCAGTCAGATCTTTCCACCACAGCTTTCGGTGCATCTAACGTTGCCGAAAGAACTACAATCCTGCAGCCTTCGTTTTTTTTCAACGGCTGAGCATAAGCAAGGCCCGAATCACCAGATGCTTTCTAGAGCCGCAGGGCTGGATCAGCCTACGACGATCCCTAAGCTGAATTAAGCCCTCAAGCCATCACCCGAAGGCATGCGAAGGCAAAACTCCCAGAATTCCTCACCCCCCGCAGCGCTCTTTGCCATGCGGTCGTCCGTGTCTTCGGCTTTTCCAGGTGGGCTTGCAGCAATGGAACTTGGTTGGACGTGCATGCACTCCGAGAGCTTTCACTTTCCGACGCAGGTTCTGGCACAGAGGTTGAAAGTAGCTCAGCGCGAACGCCTCAGGTCTTTTTTTTCCCGATTTGCCATGCTGCGTCATGCTAAAGAGGGAAAGAAGGCAAAGGAGGGGCCCAAGGCCCAGAAGCTGGAGAAAGCCGTGCTCCTCGGATCTTGGAGAAGCAGCTCTTCGGGACAGAGCATTCTTCGGAGTCGGAGAAGTCCGCTTCGGAGTCTGATTCCGAGGATGTGGGAGAGATGCTCTTCGACAAGTTGCTGGAGGGATTGGGTGACGACTTCCCTGCATCCATTCGTAAGTCAGCACAGGAAGCCGCGCGGGATGGGCCCGGAAGCGGATGAGCAATCCCGTAAAGGCAGCAACTGGATTGGTGGAATTCAGCTTGCCTGGACCTCGCCGCCAACGGTGCGGAAGGTGAAGTCGCACGTTCAGGAGCACTTCCCAAGGCCAATCGAGCCCGGCGACACCCTGAGCGAGATCGATGGCTCTGCAGTGGATGGCCGTAGCCGGCGAGAGATTCTGGGCTTCTTGCGGAAGTTCAAGGGGAGCCTTGGCTTCAAAAGAGGCTTAAGCCACAAGAGCCACACAGAAGCCGTGAGGGAGTCTGCCAAGGAGGCCTGGAGGAGTGGACCCGAGGAGGATTCTCAACACCCTTCCGAGGGGCAAAACTGGATTTGGGGCTTCCTCCTGGCGTGGACATCTCCGCCAGTGGTTCGGGATGTCAAGCCGGAGGTTCAGGAGCATTTCCCAAATCCAGTGAGTCCCGGGGACTTCTTGCATCAGGTTGACGGCAAGCGTGTGGAGAACATGAGTCGCACTGAAGTCTTAAAGCTCCTCCAGAAGTACAGCGGCAGGATTGGCTTCAGAAGTGGCAATAATGAGGATTTCCGCAAGTCAGCACAGGAAGCTTTGCGCAGTGGCCCGCAAGAAGATTCAGAGTCTGGAAAGGGATGTGACTGGATTGGTGGCATCTTGCTTGCATGGACCTCTCCTCCCGTGGTTCGTGATGTGAAGCCGGGAATGCAAAAGCACTTTGAAAAGCCAATCGCTGCTGGGGACGTCTTGCATGCGGTTGATGGTACACGCGTGCACAACTTCATAACAGATCCTGCAGCTCCTTGAACATCACAAGGGAAGTCTGTGCTTCAAGCATGGTGATGACATGGATGGCGAGGTTCGCAGATCTGCACGGGAAGCCCTAGGCAGTGGGCCACAAGAAGATGCAGAATCAGGAGAGGGATGTGACTGGATCGGTGGCATCTTGCTTGCTTGGACGTCTCCTCCCGTGGTTCGGGAGGTGAAGCCCGAAGTGCAGAAGCACTTCCCAAGACCAATATCTGCCGGTGATGTCTTGCGCCAGGTTGACGGCCAACTTGTGGGCAGCATGAGGCGCCGTGAGATTCTGGGCTTGTTCCACGACTTCCGAGGCAGCCTAGGCTTCAGAGGAGCTGATATGGATGAAGACGTGCGAGTGTCGGCCCAGAAAGCTCTTGATCACGGTCCCGAAGAGGATGAGCAGTCCAGCATGATGCTAATCAAATGCTAAGGCGAGACGCAAGTCCCAAACCCAAAACGGAAAGAGGCCCCTGAGATCGGTTTTTTGGGTGCGTCCCTGCTTGCTGCAGAGTTTGTACAGGGACTGAAAATGTCGGCTCCTCCTCCTTGGCCTGCGCATATGATGGTAATTAATCGATCCAGTTCCAGAACGGGGCTTCGGCTTGGATGTCGAGTGAGTTAACCACTTCTGGGGTTGTTAGGCAGCCTTTGCACCGAGTGTGCTATCGTTTCGCATAGCCTGGTCACTGGTCGTGGTGTCCGCGGTCGCGAATCCCTGAGGCCATGGTGGAAGACTGCCCTGCATCACGAGCTGGAAATGATGCTTGCTCTTCGGAGAAGCAGCTGGCGCCCCTTGATGCAGCAGGGCCAGGGCCGATGTCTTGGGACTCGTGGCGCGACGGATTGGCGGCCTTCGAAGAAGGTGTGCAGTGGAGTCAGCACTTCCAGTATTGCATCCGGAATAAATTGAAAGTTGAGTTTTTGTAGCGAGACTGCATGTGTCTTTGTCCTAGCTACACGTATGGCGCAATCTTTTTAGCCTGAGTGGTGCCGGGAAAAACATGTCACGGGCAGTCCATGTGAAGAAGCTGTGCTTGCACTTGCTCGACTCGTAACTCGTTGCTCGCACTTGCTTGCTGCAGCCATCTCGAAGCAGTAGACGAAGTTTGCGATTGGCGGCCTTGCTCTTCAGAAGGCATCTCGGCTGATCACCGCCGGAAGTGGTCGTCTGGGCATGAGCTGTTACCAAGGCCATGCAACGGGCAGCCTTGAAGATCCTGATGCTCTCCCAATGCTCCTTGGCGACCACGACCACGCAGACTCAGACCCTGACGACCTCAACTGTGACTGTCACGGTTTCCGCGACATCGTCCGTGACGATTTCCATGACCTCCACGACCACGACCACCACGACCTTGCCTTTTCCGAAGTACGATGTCGTGGGCTGTGATTTTGAAGCCGACACTTGCGGATGGGTCGACAGGGATCAGGCCGGGTCGGGGAGTGGCAGAGCACTTGCTTTGACATCTCTTGGGAACTCGTTAATCTGCCGAGCTATTGCTTGCTGGTTGAAGCAGGCGTTTCGGGGCCACCGTCGGTTCGTACTTTCAGCGCACTTTCGGGAGGCTTGGAAGCGAACCGCTGGTGCACAAAATGGCACAGGGCCATCAGATGCTTTCGATGGCAGCTACTTTCTGCACCTGGATGTTGGCGCCTCAGCGATGGGGCTGAGGGGTTGTCTCGAGTCTCGAGGTGTGAAACTAAGTGTGTGTGTATATATATATGTATATATATATATACACACACGCACATACATATTTGTATCTGGAGTGTGTGCCCGCGGTATGTAGCTGTGCAGGGTCGTGACCTGAGTTGGTAAGCCGAACTAGAAAGCCCGAAACGCGAGACTCTCGATTCGGGTGAGGCGCGCCTGAGATTCGGCAGCACGATTGCCTTGCAAGGCCTAGCTCACAGCGGCTTGGTCTAGATACGTCCTCGAAAGCATGTGGGAGAGACTGGGTATCCTCTGCATATTTCAATTCCCTTGTAAGGTCGCTTCCTGCGCATGAACACGTCGATAATCGACGCCTCGAGCCCCGCGGACGAGATCGGCTTCGAGCCTGAGCATTGATTTTACAATTCCCTCCTTCACAGTGCATGTGTAGGCCGTGGCATAGGCATTGCCACGAGCCATGCCAGGTGCAACTATCTGATTAACGCACCGTGAGCAGCAACAGCAGCAGCACCCGGAGGACTGGACTTGGGAACGCTTCACCGTGGTTGACGCTGGCAAGGGGGAGATCGCGCTGCACAACACCTTCCACAACCGCTTCGTGCGCATGAGCAGCACGGGGATGGACACAAGCGGCTTCAGCGTCTCTTTGCTTCAAATTTCGCATCGTAAATCAGCTTCAAATTTTCCACCCCAAACCCATCCGAAACCCCAGCCCGGTCTTGCAAGCCTCCGAAGCCCTAAACCTGAACGGGACACTCGTCGAGACTTCGAGGCTTCAGACGAGCTTCCTGCAGACTCGACCTGGGAGCGATTCACGGTGGTCGATGTCGAGGATGGCTCCATCGCTTTGCATAGTGGTGTCCACAATCGCATCTTGGCAGCTCTATGTTCTGAAACTTCTTGGTATCGTTTTCGACACCGCCCGAAGCACTGATCTCTTCAAGGTTGCTTTGGGCAGGCCAGCTGAGCCCACCAAAAACAGCAAACTCATACAGAAAACCAGGCACGGCGATGTTGAAGCTTCTGGCTGGAAACGCCTTTGGCCCAAGGCCAAACTCTGTAGGGTAGCATCCACGGCATGCCTTGGACGAAGAAGTTGCCTCAGAAGAAGCCGCTCCGGGGTTCACAAGTTCTTTCAGCCCGATGATGTGAGGGATGGCCCGTGTCTCGTAAGGACAAGGCCACTGCTCAGTCCTACGACTGAATACGACTTAGTTTGGTCGATACGTTGGGCGATGGAGTTGTGCGGTGATGAGCTTGAGGTGTAGCGAGGTTCGTCCAGGCAGCTCTTTTCGTTTGTTCGGTTGCTCAGAACTCTTGCGACAGCCGAAAACGTCTCGAGTTACACACGACACCGGATTAACACCATCCGTCGGCTGAAGCTGAGCAGTGGCATGGGTTCAGCCCTTAGTGCCAATCTGCCGACGGACAGCCCAAACCAAACCCAAAAGCCCAACCCCAAGACCCCAACATGCCCCAACCCCAAACACCTAAGCCCTAAACAGCCTAACACCCACAAGATCAGTTCCGAGGCTTCGTCTCGTTGTCGGATGATGGGATCGTGGGCGTGAGCGAAGCAAAGAATCTTGCTGGCGTTTACGGGGGAGCGGGGGGCTGGATCCGTAGAACAGTCCCCTTACAATCCCTTATGGCTGTTCTTATAATCCTGCCCACATATTTTCTTCCTTCCAAAGTCCTAAGCGCCAACAAGGAATGCAACAGAGCTGCCGGCGGCCCTTGAGCGCTTCCGCGTGGTGCAGGTGGCAGGGCTGAGAGGGGCCTGGGGGTTGGAGGATCCGCCATTTACACGATATTTGCACGGCTTGTACAGTTACAACAGACTTGACAGGGTTTTAGAAGGGTTGAGTGGGTCAGCGGGTTTTGAATATTCCACGTAGATGGACTGATGTTGGAGTTTTACAGGGTTTGAATCAGGCTTGCCCGGGGCTTGCTAGTCTGCGGGCATGCGCCTTGTCGGAACATACATACCAGGAATCGAATTTCGACATGCTTGCTGCGTTGTTAGTGCCAGCACCTGAGAAACATAAGAGAAACCCGGTGTCCCGATCCACTGAGAAACGCGACCACTGCAATCCACACCCCTCTGCATGATCATGTTTGAGCCCTCAAATTCTATCATGGGGATTCCTACATCCTAGGGGCCGCCAGCTAAAACGTGAGCTGCCAGGAAGCGCACGAAAGCCCCCGAAGCATCATGCCAGAAAAAGCACTTGCTGCCAAACTCTCCGGCCTTGAACCCTAAACTCTAAGTCCTAAGCCCAAAGCCCTTGACGCCCATCAGGTCAGGCCCTTCCTGGAGCCCGGTTCCGTAGTAGCCTTGCATAGCACACGCTGGAATCGCTTCCTGCGCATGAACAGTCAGGCCGTGGACTCATCTTCGTTTGTGGAGGTTTCAGAGAACTAGGGGTGGTTTAAATTGGGGGACCCCTTGCCATCTTTATCCTCGGTATTTTTCTGAACCCCCCCTATGTCTTTACAGTTCAGGGCTTGGACTTCTGTTGTAGGTTGTGCTTTGGTTTATCTTTTAGGTGTAGGGCTTAGGGTTTGGCAAGCGAAATGGTGTTCAGGTTGACACGCTTCTGTTTGGGCTGTGGATTTGGTCACAACGGTTTTCGGCTTTCGGGGTGTAGGTGCCGTGAAGTGAGATTGAAAGTTGCCCGAGAGTCGCGATCACGATCTTCACCAATCTAAGTTTCAACGTCTGGGAGATGTACAGAGAGAGAGAGAGAGAGAGAAACCCTCGGCTGTAACCCTGGCGAAAGA